AGCTGCTAATTACAGAAGTTCGGTGGTGGAGGATGGCTCTGGCTTTGTTTCAGTTGGGGTTCCTCTATACTGGATTTAAGTTAAATGTGTGCTTCCCCCCGTGACCCAGCCAGGCCTTCTTGGTGCACCAGAGCTGGCACATGTCACGAGGAGTTGTTGTCTTTGTCTTTATCAGTATTACTCTTCCTTTTCCTGTTGACGCTGCTTGAAAGGACCAGATCAGACCAGCTGTGGAGGGCTGGCATGTGTGGTGTTGAAACATGGTCAGTGATGTGTGCATTGACTCGCCAGGTTGTTGTGTTGGCTGTTAAGATAGTTGCTTCCTCTCAGTGGCAGGCAGGGAATTCTCCTTCTTGTTTTAATGCAGGAGTTCTGCTGTGACTCCTGTTAGAAGTAGTGCTGCATGCTGGGATGGAGCCTGTGGACCGTACGGTGATAACTCTGCTAAATTAGAGGACTCTCGGTGTATGTCTGCGTGGGAGGGCAGTGCTGGTTACCTCAGGTGTTGGAGGAGGTACTTCTCTCATTTTCTTTTGAAACAGGAGCAGTAGGTTGATAAAAACTGCTAACTTGGCAGTGTTTTTGTGCTCTGAAGTATGATAGTGCCCAGTGTCAAGACTCTCTTTGGATTCTTAAGTGGCTTTGGACCTTTATCATCTGTCACCTCGAAGGTCATACATCAGTCTTTGCATTTCCCTCTGGATTCTCTCCTTCTTGAGCCTCGTTCTAAGTGGCTGCTTTGCGTAGTCTTGTTTGGAGTCTGGTTTATTGGCAGTTCTTGGTGGGTGCAGGAACCAGGTGAACCTGCACTGCTCATCTCTGCCTTACCAAAGGGACAAATAGCACAGAGAGATTTCTGTTTAGCAGGTCAGTGGCTACGAGTTGTATCATCCCGCTGCACTGTGGATTGGCCAACTTGAGACTGGGAGACTTAAACTGCTGGGTGTGATCTCTGAACATAATTAATTTGAGTAAATGGCTCCTAACTGTTCCTATGTAATTGTGTTTGTAATTGGAAGCCTTAATGCTCTGCTAAAACTTATTTAAAGCGGTGCCTCCAAGGGTTTCACAGTTGTGTATTTCTTTTTTTCTACCTCAGTGTCTGCTTTTCTGGTGCAAAAAGCTTGAAGGGAACAGACAAGAAGCAATGTGGGAATTCAACTTCAAGTTCAAAAAGCAGGTATGAAAGCCAAAACTGTCATGAAAGAAAAACCAGAATAGCTCTGGCTTTTTATTTTTATTTTTTTGGAAGAAGTAATGATATTTCTGAGTGGTGGAAGGGAAGGTGGAAACATTTTGAGTGAGTTCAGACAGTAAATGGAAACTCTGAATCACTTGGGAAGCTGAAACTCATTCTGAAACTGCGCTCACTTTTCAGTCTGTATCACCAAGATGTGTCCAGTCATGTGCTTTTATCTTTGCATTTGATATTTTGTTTCCTTGTTGATCCGCTGTAAGATGTGGATTATTTGTCACCCCAAATAATCTTATCTTTGGATCATTGCTACTGATTACCACTAGAAAACAGACTGTTTAAGTTGAGTGGTCAAAATGTAGATCCATATCTGAAACCGTTTGTCTTACCATTGGAAGGATTTCCCCAAGAAGTTGAAGAAAGCCAAGAAAAAGCACTGGGTCTTGGGAGAAGCTTGTAGCCTAAGGCAACCCTGGGAATTCTGCAGCTTTCCTGTCTAAAGAAATGGCCCTTCAGATTCTTTGTCCCGAGTGGTGGCTTGTTGTTGTTTATGTAATGCTGCCCAAGTGTATGGGAATGTGGTGAGAACCTGCTAGTCAGAACTGGTGAGAAGAAACCAAAGGCTCTTGCTTAGCTAAATGTCTCTCTTTCTTTGAAGTCTCCCAGATTTAAGAGCAAATGTTGCAAAGGTCTTCAGCCACCCATCCAGTATGAAGAAGTCCATACGAACCCTGACCAGGATTGCTGTTTACTGCAGATCACCACCTTTAACTTCATATTCGTGCCAATAGTCATGGGTATGACGTTTACCTTGGTAAGTGTTTGAGTAATCCACCACACAATCTTTGCACGCGCAGGTTTTGAAAGGAGAAGGAAACCTCTTTGGTGTTGTATAAATCCCACTACTGCACCAACCAGCCAGTTGTGGGAATCTCAAGGTTAACGATCAGAGGAATTGCTAAGGATCTCCTCAATTTAGCTGCTGCAGATCCATCAGCCCTTCCCTGTTTAGGGGAAGAAGCTGAGTTTGTGTGTGCATGCAGCAGCTGGGAGCAGATTGGTTGTCAGCACCACAGCAGGGGAGAAGTGGGGAGGCAGGAGAAGAGGTATTCCCTCCTTAATAAAATCTCTCCTTGCCTCAAGGCAGTAAATTCTGAGAGCAGAACCTGTACGAGCAAACTCCTGGAATATGTCTGTGGTCCCTGATTGCTGGGAGAATCGGTGGCTTTAGAACCAGCAAGCTGTGCTCCAGATGGAGGTGTTGCATCAGAACGGAGCACAGGTGTGGTTAGGTGTGGGACAGCACCTGTGTCTGCACCTGTAGTCTTGTAACTTTGTGCAGGGTTGGCCTGTGCCCAAGGGAGGCTAAGGCTGGCCTCACCTAAAGCAGAGCAGTAAATCCAGGCTTCCTCTGAGAGCCAGTTGCTTGCACGCTCACTTCTAGCATTGTTATTTGGGGTTGGCAGTTGAAGAGGACTAGTTTGAATTCAGTTTTGGAGTCAGAGTGTAACTTTCCAAGCACCTGAAGTACCCTGGATATATACAGCTTCGTTCTTAGCAATTTACATTTACTTTTTAAATTTTTTTTTTAATTCTTCTGCTTATTCATTGCTTTGATTTTTGAAATGGTACCTTTTCTCCTTTTAGGTAAATAAAAATTAAATCTAAATTGCTTTGTGGAAAACCTACCTGAAGGGAGTCAGTCGTTCTTTATCAGTAATGTATTTTAAATGCTGATGTAGCCAAAAAGAACTGGTTTTGATACCTACTGTCAGCGATCAGTCTGCATTTATCTGGAAACAGGCATTTCTAGAATCTGTCTGCCTCCTACAGCACCTCCTTGTCTCTCTCCTTGCAGTTCACCATCAACGTGAGCACAGACATGAGGCATCATCGTGTGCGTCTGGTCTTCCAGGACGCCCCTGTCCGCAACGGCAAGAAACCGCGCCTTGACCAAGGAGTGCAGGTTGTGCTGGACCCTGTGCATAGCGTGCGGCTCCTGGATTGGTGGCACCCACAGTACCCCTTCTCTCCGAAAGCTTAGTGCTCTCCTGCGTCTGCAGCAGCCGGCAGGTGACTGAATCTGACAGGCTGAAGAAAATTTCTAGGAACCAGGAAATCCTGTTTTTTGTTTTTTTTTTTCTTAAAATAAATTCTGCAGCCTCCCTGAAAGTGGTTGAAGCTACTGAGCTAGTCTGTATGTATATAACTTCTGGTCAGTGATGAGCAGAGCTGAGTGTAAAGCAGAAACTATTTGTAAACACTTTTATGTAAAATTCACGTTTTATGATTTGAAAGGAGCTCCCTGGAACTGTTCATTTAAAATCCTTTTGGTGCTAACGAAAGTGGTCCTGTTTTCTGTTGTTCAGGAAGAAGCAGGAAGTCTTGCTTTTGAGCTTTAATGTGACCAGAAACAATTGACAAATGAGATGCATGGGTTTTTTTTTACTGCCACATGATTGCATTCAAATGCAGTGTGATATTTCAGTGTCTGAAAGCAGTAAGCAAAGCAGCAATGATCAACAATAATGCTGATTCACAGTCCAACAGATGTTTAAAGAACAGCATACGTGATCAAACAAAGGCGTTATTTCAAAGAGGATTTGTAAGGCAAAGGTCTTTCCTGAGTGTAAAGATATTCCAAGTTCTCACGGTGATGTTCCCCTTTGAAAAGAAGACCTAAACTTCTAAAATTTTTCAGAGGTACTTCGTCAGGTACTTTTCAGAGAAGATGGAGGGAGAGGAGATGCAGGGGATAAACTAAAGTAACTTGAGCAGCTGTGAAGGACTTGAGTCTGGTTTTTGTCAGAGCAGTGGAGCAGTGTTGGCCTGTTGACGCTGGAAAGCTCAGAAGCAGTCAGCGATTTAGCTCTTGACCAAACAAATTTAATTGCCATGAGGAAGAAGAAGCCCTGAAACTTTCTGCAGCCGCTGTGGCTCTGGGGTGCTTGTTAGAATGGTAGAATATCCCGAATTGGAAGGGACCCACAAGGATCATCGAGTCCAACTCCTAGCTCTGCACAGGACCGAAAATCGGATCCTGTGTCTGAGAGCAGTGTCCAAACAGTTGAACTCCAGAAGGCTCGGAGCCATGACTGTCACCCTAGGGAGCCTGTTCCAGTGCCCGGCTGCCCTCTTGCTGAAGAACCTTTTCCAGCCTGACCCTCCCCTGGTGCAGCTCCGTGCTGTTCCCTCGGTTCAGTGGTCACCAGAGAGAAAAGATCTTGTTTGAGGAGGGAGTGGGGTGCTGAGGCTGGGCCTGTGAGGAGCAGCCTGTCGTGCCCAGAGTGAATTGGGCAGGAAATGCAGTGGGTGAGCATCTTGCTGCTGACAGACGCGGGTCTCCTGGAGGAGTGGCAGCAGGCAGAGGAGGTGCTGGCACGCAGGTGAGTAACGGCGGAGGTGGTAACCCCGTCCTGAGCTCTGCTGTCCACCAGTGACTGAGCTTCAGTCCTGTTTGACATCAGATCTTGTCTCAAGCAGGGGTAACAAAGCATTTCTTGTCTGTTGGCCACGTATTCTGTTTGGTGAAGCTCCTGGAGAGCAGCGGGTGACTGGAAGGAGAGGGAGTTCTTCATTTAACATGCAAATAACCCACAGTCCCTGTAGCTGCCTGGCAGGAGTTTCTCACATGTGCTTCTGCCCCAATGTAAATCACCACCAAGGACATCTACCCTTCATGGATCTGTGTTAGAGCTCTGTGATGTTGACTTCAAACAAATGCATTTGGGAAAACTCCTGCCTCAGTTTCCCTTTTCTCTGCTGCTGAGCAGGTATGTTGGAACTGACAGGTAAGTTCCAGTGCAAGAAAGGTGTGTTACAGCTGAGATAACAGCGGGTTCCTGTGACAGTGGAGCTTGGTCCAACCTGTGATTGCCTTTGGCCTGCAAGAAATGAAAGGGTGGCTTTGAAGTGCTGGGGCTGCTGCTGTGGAGGGATTTTCCATTCAGGCATTGTGCAATGCATGTGTGTGAAGTGCCTGTGCAGAAGGAAGCTGATTTCGGACAGCGTGAGTATCAGAGTCGTCTTTGTGGAGGGGCTAGGAGGAGTTCCTCTGCTAGAGGAACTCGTCCAGCAGCGCGTGGTGCAGACCACAAATGGCTCTCAGCCCCATAGCTCTGCCAGAAGGGGCAGCTGGGGGCGCAGCAGCAGGAAGCAGGAGGGCAGGGTGTTTCCTGTGGCCAGCAGGCTTGTGGTTTGAAATTTGGGTATTGAAATGTGGATGGAGAACCCTCACGGGAAGAGCTGCCCCGCGGTCTGTGAGGGGCAGGGGTGCTGCGAGGCTGTGCTCTGCCTGCCCATGGGCGAGGTGAGGGGCTCCTGGCCAGACCTCAGCCCTGAATTTGGGGCTTTCCACCCCTTGCCCCTCACACCCAGCCCTTGCAGGAACATCCTCCGTGCTCTCACATGAGTGGGGCGAGCTCCTTCCACTCCAGCTCACCCAAAGCCTCGTGCTCATCCCTCTGCCTCTCATCTGGGTCACCAGCTACAGGTGATGCTGTGACAAAACTGATCCCCACTGGGGCTTGGGGTGAGGATAACATCCCCTGGCGGTCAGCACGGGCCCCTACTGTGATGGCCAGGAGCCCTGATGCTCTCCCTGGTGCGTGGGGCCCTGTTTTACCTCCGCTTTGTTCCACTCGGGCTCCTGAATAATGAAGGACCGTAAGCTGATCCGGCACGGCGCTCGGGTTTCCAAACGGAGGTCAGGGAGGCTCGGGGAGTCTCCAGCCATCCCCACGGCCTCACCCCTGCCCCTCTCCTTGCTGGGGTTTTCCTTGCCACTGGTCCAGCTCCGTGCCCCCAGCTGCTGCACGTGCAGATCCTCGTAATTCAGCAGGTAAAAGGCTGGAGAGCCCAGCCCCATGCTGGTTGTGCCCGGACACCGCAACCTGCGCCGTGGCCCCCTTCTGCAGCACCTTTGGGATTCCCTGCCCAGTGCAAGGACAAGGATGGGGCCGGGCTGTGAGCGAGGGGACCTGCGCCTGGCACAGCCCCAGGGCTGGGTCCGAGGCCCCGCTTCCTCCCACTGGGGCAGGAAGCACCGAGCCCCAGTTCCTTCCTGCGCTGGGCACGGGGCCATGACAAGAACGGCTCCACTGCCTCCTGCAGCTTGTGGCTGGGCAGCAATTCGCTGCCGGCCCTGCTGCAGCTCCCCTGGGCCTTCCAGCACGGGAACGGCCCCGTTCTGAGAAGCCAGGGCCGGCCTGAAGGTAGGAGAGGTCCTGGCCAGCGAGGGGGTGAGGGAAACGGGATTGTGGTTCGGATAAATGAAGTGGGAGAGGAGCAGGGCCACCAGCACGTCGCCGGATCAGGGGGTCTGGACGTGGCTCTGGGGGTGCTGCAGGTGGTCGGTGGTGAGCACCGCGGGCACGAGGGCTGCCGGCGGTCCTGCATGGCTCGGGGGAAGTGGTGGGCCCCAAGTGGTGGATTCCCAAAGGAGTTTGGGGTTTGTGGGGGCCTGGTGAGAGCCCCGGGGGGGCTGCTTTCACCTGTGGCTGTGGGGTCGGTGATAGAGAGGGCGGCTGGATGGGACGCAGGCGGTGCCCCCGTGGGATGCCCGGTCCTGGGGGAGGCCAGGGCTGCCCTGACCCCCGCAGCAGGGCTGGGGGACCCTTCGCCCAGCCTGGCTGGTTCACCGAGCTCTCGGCACGGGGTTGAGGCCGCCCATGGACGCTCCTCCTCTGCTGGAGGCAGGTGAGGGCTGGGGTGGGGCTTTGCAGAGCGAGAAACCAGAGCCCGGCCAGAGGAGCTGCGGCCGGCGAGCCCTGCACCCACAGCCCAGGTCCCCGCGTGCCCCGTAAGTCTGTGCCATCCCTGTGGGATCATCCGGAGCGGTGCTGGGGGGTGAGCCATCATCCTCAGGGCCCGTGGGATGGGGCTGCACGGGAAAGGGGTGCCTGGGGAGAGGGCAGGGGGCTGGAGCTTCCCCATGCTGTTGGCTGCAGGGACCAGGTCGGACCTGAGTGTCCCCTTACCGAGCTGCCCTCGGAGACCCCTCGTGCTGCAGGGAGGTAGGAGACCTGCATTGACCTAAAGCTTTGGCTCTTGGAGTTCTGGGGTGGAGAAATACATCTCTTCCTCTCCTTCCTCCCCCTGGGCTGACCTTTGAGCAGGGAGACCCATGGGGTAGCGGGTAGGGCCCTCGGCTGTTTCCCAGGACCAGCAGCACCCCGAGCAGCCGGGATCTGCCCTCATGGGGCTCGGTGCCACCCCAATTTGTCACATCCCCCACTCATGTGAGCAGTGTTTTTTGGCACTGGGTTAAACCATGCCCAGATCTGCCCCGGGGACCCCTCCAGGCAGCGATGAGAGGTGCTGAGCCCTGCCTCGTGCACCCAGCCCTCACCCCGTTGGGCAACGCAGCCCTTTGCCCTGCCTCAGTTTCCCCAGCACCATGGGCCGTGCTGCCTGGCGCCACCGAGCCCCGGCTGCTGCCACCCCCTGCGAGCAGCCCGACCTCTCCCAGTGCTACAGGCGGCAGCTGGGAGCATCCGGCCTCTGCTCGCAGCCTTTGTGGAGCGAGGCTGCGCATTTCCTCCTCCTTGTTCCCCTCGGAGTCAAGGCCGCTGCTGTCACCAAGCTGTCACGGAGCTGTCTCAGAGCCTGCTGGGCCACGAGTCTCCTGACAAAGCAGAGGAACCGCGACGTGCCCGTGGCACCACGGCGTTGTCCCCACTTGCGCTGATCTCAGCAGGCTGCTGGAGGAGAAATGGAGAAGTGAGACCAGGGAGTTAATCATCATTCACTCGTTACCTTCCGTCCTCTGCTAAGCCTGCGGAGTGGGGCGATGCCGGAGGCTCCAGGAGTGTGTGACCGGGGGGAAACCAACCTCAGGGACCCATCCCCTATGGGATCCCCTTTCCCTGCTCCTCCCCAAGCCAAGCTGTGCTCGGGAGGCTCTGGGGCTGCTCGGCAGCGCCGTGTTTTCCACCCAGGACCCTTTGGCCTCACGGAGCATCACCGGGAGCGGCCCCGTGCAGGGTCGGGTGCTGAGCCTCAGGTGTTCCCAGCCCGTCCCCTGGCTTTGCTGCTGTCCCACAGGGCAAAGAAGCCTGGGGGCATGGGGAAGAGCTGGCTGGGGGCAGGGAGCACCCCAAATCCCGCTGTGCTGTGCCCCCTGGGCCTTGGAAGAGGTTTCAAACAGCTCTGAGAGCTTTGAAGGAGAGGCGATAATCAGAGCACAGCCATCACGGCGTCTCCTTTGGACTCTTCCCTAGGTTCAAGCCAGGTGAAGCGGCTCCTCTGCTCCCCTTGGCCGGGCTGGGGCTCGTTAAGGCTGCAATCAGCCGGCCCTACAGGGATGAAAAGATGAAGCTGACCCCGATAACGTGATGCCTCGGCTGATCCCAGCTGCCTCAGCTCAAAGGCTGAGGAGCCTGGGGCGAGAGCACCCTTCGGAGGCTCTGCTTCCGCTGCCGTCTGGAGAGCGTGGGTGTGCTGGGAGCATCCCACATCCATGCTTTGAGCAAGGCTTCGCCTCCCCCTGGGAGCTGCTGACTTTTTACAGAAGTCCTGGGTGAAGCCTGGCAGCTCCCGGCTTTTTTCCTGTGCTGCCTGGGAGGGCTTTTCCTCGGCGGGTCCGTGTTGAAAGGCGCTTTCACCAGACAAGCAGGCGGTTTGGATGCGCGCGCTGTGCCTGCCCCGCAGCGCTGGGCACTCGCTCTCTGCTTTCCCCTGTTCCAGGGCAGCCCCAGCATTTAGAATGGAAAAACCCCAGATAAACACAGGAGCCTTTTAGCCTCCTGCCACGCCTCTGCTGCGAGGGAGAATATCTTAAGGGCAATGTGAGCTCCTTGAAGGTGACTTTTCCCCCACCACCACCCCAGGGACAGCTTTCGTGTCGTTCCAAGCAAGGGACGTGGCTGGGCAGGGGTAGGGGTGGCTGCTGGCAGCTGCCTGGGATCAGAGGTGATGGCACAGGTCCTGCCTGCTCGGTGCAGGACGGAGGCAGGAGCAGGGGCTGGGGGCACTGCCTTGTCCCTGTGGTGCCTGTCCTGGGGTCGTGCTGTGCTCTCATCTGCCTTTTCCTCCCCCAGGCCTCAGCGGGCTGGCCCGGTGCTATGAGATGCTCCCCGAAGCGCTGCCTCACGGCTGCGCTCACAGCCTTCGTCCTCCTCCTCCTCTTCCTCCTCCTGCACAGGGGCAGCTGGCAGGAGCAGGAGCCCCTCGAGGTGAGTCCTGCACCGGTGTCATCCCACTGGAGGGGGGAACTGGGATGTCCTCCACTGCACATCCCCTGCCCCGTATGGATCCTCACGGCTGGTTCTGCTCCCTCCCTTGTCCCGTGGCATCCCCAGCTCTGCCTTCTCCCCTCCCTGGCGTTGCTCTGTACGCTTGGGGCTGCCCCGGAGCAGGATTTGGGAGGGCAGGATTTGGGGGCTCTCCCTTGCCCTTTGCTCCCCCCACCTCGCGTGCGTGAGGCTGTCAGCACCCCAGGCTCTGAGCTGACCTCCTGCGGCTCCCATCCAGGTGGAGTTTAAGGACCTACCCCTAGACACCGCCCTGCAGATGCTGAAGCCAGAAGGGGCCCTGAACATCCTCCAGGACCCGGACAACCTCTCTGCGCCCCACAACGTCTCCTACCACCTCCTCGCTGGCTCCCTGCCGCCCCGCAAGAGTGAGTGGCTCTGGGACCCTGGGTTGGGCAGGGCTCTGGGGTTGTGCTCCCTCAGCAGGAGGTGGAGCTGGGTGACTGGGGCAACCCCAGGGTGGGAGATGCACATCGAGCTCTTGGACAGGTACGCAAAAAGCAATTCACGTGCCCTGGGGAGGAGCTCAGGGCAGCCCCGGGTACATTTGTGCCAAAACCAGTGACCCAGCACGGAGTCACAGAATGGTTTGGGTTGGAAGGGACCTTAAAGATCGTCTAATCCCAACCCCTGCCATGGGTGGGGATACCTCCCACTGGATCAGGTCACGCAAAGCCCCATCCAACCTGGCCTTGAGCACCTCCAAGCACGAGGCATCCACGGCTTCTCTGGGCAGACACGCGCTGTGCTGTACAGACCGGGAATGAGAGAAGTTGCAGCAAGAGTGAAATCTGAACAAAAACCACAAGTTGTCCACAGGGAAGGCGCAGAATTGCCTCATCCCCCTGTGTTTCATCGTCATGAGGTTCAGAATGGGGTAGAGCCATTGCTCCGAGGACATGTAGCTGTACCATGACACCATCCCAGACCCGCAGACTGTATCTGCAGTTTCTTCCCCACATTTCATGTTTTTAAGGTGTCTTTTTCCTGGATATTTCCTCTTTGGAGAGCCCCTGACTTCTCATTCTGGCCTCTCCCTGCCCTTTGGTACACGTTTTTGGTACCTCCTGAGATGCTGGTGGCTTCAGGAAGGACCCCTGAGCTGGCTTGCAGGGAAAAAATCTCCCTGTGGTGCATCCTGGGTCTCCCCTCTCAGACTGCTGATGCTTTTTTTTTTTTTTTTGCCTTGCAGAGTTCTTGGCGGTGGGGCTGGCGTCAGTGCGGCGGCCACGTGGCTACTACCTCCCGGCCACGCTCACGTCCCTCTTCAAGCAGTCGACAAAGGAGGAGCTGCAGGAGATGGTGGTGGTGGTGCACCTGGCTGACGCGGACCCTGGCTGGAACGCCCGGGTGGCCGCCGACATCACCCGCAAGTTTGCTCACCGCATCCTCCTGGGCCAGCTCCTGCTGATCCACGCTCCCCAGGAGTTTTACCCGACCTTGGAGGGCCTCAAGAGAAACTACAACGACCCAGAGGAGCGGGTGAAGTTCAGGTCCAAACAGAACGTGGATTACGCCTTCCTCCTGGCCTTCGCCGCCAACCTTTCCTCCTACTACTTGATGATCGAGGACGACGTGTGGTCTGCCAAGTCCTTCTTCACGGCCATCCAAAAGGCAGTGGCCTCGCAGGAAGGCACGACCTGGGCCACCCTCGAGTTCTCCAAGCTGGGCTACATCGGTAAGCTCTACCGCTCCAGTGACCTTCCTCGCCTGGCTCGCTTCCTCCTCCTCTTCTACCAGGAGATGCCCTGTGACTGGCTGCTGGTCTACTTTCGCCTCCTGCTCACCCAGAAGGACGTCATCCGCTTCAAGCCCTCCCTCTTCCAGCACATGGGCCTCTACTCCTCCTTCCAGGGCACCGTCAACCGGCTGGAGGACGACGAGTTCGAGGCCGACGCCATGGACCTCCCAGACAACCCTCCCGCAGCCTTGTTCACCAGCATGACTGTCTTTGAGAACTACGAGCCCCTCAAGGCTTACAGTGCCTCAGGGGGGTACTTTTGGGGGAAAAACCCAGAAGATGGCAGCACCTTCTGCATCGTCTTCCAACAACCAGCCCGCATCACCCGTGTGCGAGTGCGGACGGGCTCTGATGAGCGCCAGGGGGATTTCTTGCGTGCAGGGGTGCTGGAGCTGGGCCGGAGGCGACGGGCTGATGGCCGGGACTGCTCTGCCTACATCACCGTGGGCACCTTCGAGAAGGGGCTCTTCGAGCGCAGGGGGCTGGAGAAGGGAGCGCCCGGCCCCGTGGAGTGCGTGCGGATCCGGGTGACCAAGGGCCAGAGCGAGTGGCTCATCATCCAGAGCATCGACATCTGGACGGTGGCAGACAGCTGACCGCGGGGTGCTGGAGCGGTCGGGTTTTTGCACTAACGAGGAGCTTTTATTTTTTTCTCAGCCCCTTTTCAGATGGGGAATTAAATTATTCAGTCCCACCGGTCCTGCCTGCTGTCTCCAGAGGGATGGCGGGGCAGCGAGGATGGGGTCAGCCCAGGGGATGCTGCAGCAAGCGGTGCCCAGCCCCAGGTGGTTGGGTTCTGCTGTGGGGCTGCAGCCCCGATTTGTAGGGGGCAGTGATCTTGCGTGGTCTGTGTGCCCAGACAGAGCTACCAGCGTCCCTGCTTAGAGCAGGGCGCTGCTTCCTTCGCCTCCTGGTGTCCTTCGCCCCAAACTCCCCCCCTGGGATCCCAGAGCCCTCTAACGCTGCAATGTCCCCGTGGCTTCCTGGGGTGGGAAGGGGGAAGCGTTTCCTCCTGGGCATGATGGTGCATGGGACAGGGCTAACTGGCTAATTAATCAAGTCATCAGACTAATTAGCCAGGCAGCAGCATTTTTTGCAACCTCTCTGTATCACCCCGTCCCCACCTTAGCTGTCGAACCCATCGCTTCCCAATTTCTAACCTGTTTTCCTTATCCCATCTCCAAGCTGTTCCAAGGCCAGAGGGCAAGGGAAGGAGTTGGGGTGCTGCTGCTCCCTGAACCCCAGGAGCAGGGAGCCAGGAGCCTGGGTGCTGGCAGCAGGACCCCTGCCCCTGGGGGCTGCTGATCTCTGCTGCTTCGGAGGGGCACTGGCCACCAGATGGACCCATCGGCCCGGCGCAGTCCTTCCACGCCACCCAGGGCAGCTCCCACCTCAAAACCTGTGCTCGGGCCCTTCAGGCAGCTCTGCCCTCTCCCCGCAGCACAGAAAATGTGACCTCAGTCTAATTCAAAGCCCTGGGTACGTTTTTAGGCAAGCATGGTGCTAAAGGGCAGCTGGGGTAAATGTAGGCTGCCAGAGCAAAGCCCCCACAGAGCTTCTGTTTGGATTTTTTCTGGTTGTATCAAAAGCTGCTGGCTGTAGTGTGCAGGGCAGTGTGACCAGCATCTCTCCCAGGTAGGCTTTTAGCAGCAATTGCTCAGTTTTCAATGAACACGGAGGAATTGTAATCTGCTCGAGAGCCTGGCTGCAAGCACAGCCCAGCACAAAGCAGATCCGGGAGCCGCTTGAGCCCAGCCCTCCCCCACCACAAAGCCCCCAAGTGCTGTAACCGCAGCCTCACGGTCCTGCAGCAGCTTCTCCCTGAAAAAAGCCAGCACGGGACTAGGTCTTTTTCTGCATTTAATGTAGAGATGCTACATGATAAACTTCAGCACCTTCCTGACGTTACACATGTTCTCACTGGGATACATGCTGCAGAATCACCTCGTTTTCCTCCACCAGCAGCAGTAGTTCAGAGGTCTCTGAGAATTCTGAGGAGCGTACGTGTGACCTGGCTGGGGGCACGAGACCCAGGCACACAGAGCTCCAGCAAAGCCTTTGCCTTGGTTCTCTTGGACACAAATGCCCCTGATGCGCTGTGTGAGTACCAAGGACTACAAATGTGGGTACAATCAAAAATCTTTTTCCCCAGTGTATTTTTATCCACTGCTAAGGGAGGAAAGCAAAGATAAATCTGCATTTTTACCTGGTGGTCCTTTACTTGTTAATGTACTAATCACTTTTTTCTGCACAGAAACAAACTGCAATGTCGGTTATGCTGGTGTAAGCCTGGAGAAACTCCACTGACCAGAGTGGAAATCCACCCGGGTTACACCAGGGTAAGTGCAAGCAGCAGCTGAGGACTGGCAGGGACCCGCTCCTCGTCCTCCCAGTGCAATGCTCGTGTCTCAGCACCACAACACCCAATTATCAGCAGTGCCAACTAGAGAGGGAGGTGGCTTCTTTATCCTGGAGCAGCACCACGTAATTTCTTCCACAAAAATGGTCCCGTTAGTATCCCAGGAACACTAAGCCTGCTCCCAGCACTCCCCAAGACCCCTGGTCTCTAACGCGGGGCGTGGGCTGATGGAGGCTGTGGCTGGAGCTGCAGCCCCTGCACAGACCAGTGCATGAACCGGAGCGGCAGCGCTGCTCACGGCCGTCCTCATGCAGCCACGGGCCAGCAGGCAGCGCAGGTCTCAGCTGAGCTAAGGTTAAGGAGCCTCTGAGGCTCCTTACGTAAAGGGCAAGGGGACAAAACCAGGGGCAAGCACTTTGGCCTGCTCATCTCTAAAAAGAGGGTAAATCGGAGAGGGTGAGAGCTCTCAGTCCAGCACCAGGGCTATCCTGAGGGATGGCTCGCTGTCCGTCTCGACCAGCTGAGCTACCCTGCCTCTCAGGAAGCGGTGCCGCACGTCTGCTCCTCTAGCTCAGCATCTTGTGGCGGTCGAAAACCGTCTTCCTCTGCTCCTGCACCTGGCGCTTCCAGCGCTGCTGGGCTCCCTCCACCCTCTCCAGCACCGTGTTGGCTCTGGCCCCGGACGGGGTGGGGGCTGCAGCCAAGGAGTGAGCGTCCTACAATGGAAAGAAATGGTGAAAAAGGTCAGCAATGTCAGAAGGCCCCTTGGGTAAGCATCCATCGTGGCACAAAAACACCAAGGCAATCCTGAGACCTATCCCAAGGAGTTTACAGTCCAGAGTGCTACAGCAAGATAAAGCTCCCCAGATATCAGGCATCTACAGCATACACCTAGATCTAAATATGAGTTATTCCTTTGGAGCAGCGGAGCAAAAGCATGCTGTTAGGATACAATTCATCTTCTCCTGCAGGACCTCATTTTTCAGCAGGGGAAGGCTATGGCTAAACTGTGCACTCAGAGCAGCTACTCCTCACTCACATCGGAGTAGGAAACAGCTTGACCAGACAGTTTATACTTATAACAAAGTATAAACACGACAGCCTGATCCAGCAGAGTACCCTCAAACACAGCAGCTTCCCTCAAACTGTGACTGAGCTCCTTGCAGCTGCTGGGGCTGATCCCACACGGGACCAGAGGGCGCAAGCCTGAGGCCAAGCTGTCTCCCTGTCTGCTGTTCTCTTCTTCCATCCCACCACCCCAGCTCCACCATGAGAGCATCCACACACTGCATGTGCCAGCAGCACAGCCTCACCTCGTTCTCCTCCTCGTTGTGCAGGGGCTGGGTGTAAGCATCTGGCTTGCGGATCAGAGGGTCCACCAGCACAAGGAAAGCCATGTACAGCAGCAGCGCCCCAACCACGGACAAGTAAATGATGATGATCACCTGCAGTTAAGGACAGCGCAGTGAAAAGGGATCAGCAGTACAGATAAGAAGCACCACAGAGGCCTGGAAGCTCCCTTCACAGCTACCTCTGATGTTTGATCTCTTCCCTCATTCTCACTTTGCTCACTAGAACGTCCTATGTGCTTCTCGCAGGAAGGGTGATGATCCAGACAATTACAACCCATCCTGATTTCCCTGTGTTGTGTCCATTACAGACATGCTGCACGTGAAAGGAGACCAACAGGATGGGCACCCAGTCCAAGCTGTGCTTCCACAACCTCACAAGGAGACTGGGCTCCCATTTGCCTCCTCCTCACTGCCAGGAGTGTTCCCGACTCAGACACAGTGCCCCTGGCACCACCATGGGGTGTCAGCTGTGACAGCTTTGTTGTCCCTTGCTGGGCTCCTCTCCAGCACCCACCCAGCTGTGCCCAGGACGGCGTGGTGTCACAAGGAGCAGTTACCTTGATGGTGGTGGTGCTGCGCTCCTCGTACTTGCATTCACACAGCAGGCAGTACGCCTCCACGTCGTTCCCGGGCACTGGCATGGGCTCCACAACATGCAGGCAGTTGCTGCAACACAAGGAAACCGAGATCAGCGACAGGACAAGGTGAACCCGGTGCTCTGGGTAAGGATACTGGGGTCACTTTGTCCCAGTTTTCCCATCTGGCTGATAACGCTGCCTGCAGTTCCCTCACAGCCAGTCCAAGGTTCCTGGGACGGATTGCCACAGCACCTTCTGCAGGGCAAAAGTCCAGGTGAAAGGGACTGGAGGGTAAAACCTCCATCTGCTGAGAGCCATGGCCTGAGAAACCATCCCTCCCACGTTCCCAAATCTCTGTTCAAAACATGCCCCTCACCCGGGCTGAGCATCACCTACTGGAACAGCTTCCTCTACAAACGCACAGGCAGCAAATTTCTCCCCCAGCACTGGCTGGAAACTCCAGAGCGTTTCACGGAGCAACCCCTCAGGCTTCAACGTGCAACTCACCAGTCCTTCTGCGACACATTCTTGTTGTAGATGTGCCCACTGATGTTCCGGTACGGGGGACAGATGCACTTGCAGCGGATGTCCTCCGAGCTCTGCAGAAGCACGAGGAGACAGCGTTAGTGAGTGAACAGATGGGAACAGTTCTGGGCTGCGGGAAAAGACAGAACATTCTCTGAGAGAGATGACTTCGTGCCACATCCCTGATTTCTGCTCTGCTTCTTTCACATCAGTAGCTTTGAAATCTTAAAACGTCTTGAGCACCTCTGCTCCAGAGACCAGGTGGTCTTCAAATTTTAAAATGCAAACTCCAAAACATGACATAAGGCAGGGCAGAGGCTACTGTAATATCTAAAGCTGTGAATGGGCATGACAAATCCATACACAGCACTGACCTCTTACAGCACTTCTTACCTTTGCAAATTTTCATAAAAAAACAGTTGTTTCTCTTCCATTTTTGTGCCTGTTGTACTACACCCAGTGCTTGTGTCAGAAGCTGTTCACTCACCTTGCTTGCGTGTGCTGGAGGAGAAAGGACGCAGCTCAGCAGTGCGACCAGCAGCACGGAGCTTGCACATTTCCAGGTGCACTGGGCAAACATTGTGCAAACCTGAGGAAATAAAAACTCACATCCAGGATAAGGGATCTTGGCATTCAGTGCAGCCAGAACGCATTACTTTGAGCTTTCCCTTTTGACCCACTTATTTCTGTTTTAACCAGGAAGTAGGGGTTTATCTCTGTATCTAAAGAGCTTCCACCACCTATTGCCATGCACCCCAACTACCTTCTGCAACAAAATATTGCTGACTTGCTGACCATTTCACCCCCACAACTGCACACAACCTCCTGTATCACCCGCAGACCAAGGGTAAGCTAAAGAACTACACTGGGGCCTCGCTGCTGAAC